TCGGCGGGGGCTGCCGGCTGGAAGAGCTGAGATCTGTTCTGCTGACGACCCAGGAAAACAGGCCCAGAGGGAACTGAACTGGAAACCAAGTTAGAAATCGAGAACAGCCCCAACTGGGGGCCAGTGCGGTTGGCGAGGAGAGAGCCACGGAGTTGGCCAGGGCTCAGCCTTTCAAGGGGACACCAAGGCGATGTTTAGATTCTCACTTGCTACCCAGGCCTCAGGGGTGTCTGGCCCAAACCACAGAGGGCGGCTGGCAGGGGGAAGGCTGGGGGTGGAGCCGGAGCCAGGGTCAAGGTCAGGCGGGTCTGCGGCAGCAGCGGGCAGCCGCGGGGCGCCTTCAGACACCCCCAGGCATAGCCCAGGGCGCCTTCCCTTTCTCCGACTGGGAATGGCCCCACGGCAAGAACATGGCGTGCGCTCAATGACCCACCTAACCCCCACCGGGACGGTGAGGGAACCCCCAGCCTCCCAGGCAAAAGGCTTCCGCACAACCCCCTGGGAATACGGGGGCTTTAGCCAGGGAACCTCAAACAGACCCACCTGCTCCGTGTCCTTCTTTCCACATGGCATCTGGTAGATGATGTCCCCAGAGTCCCCAGACCCAGCAGGGCTGGTGGCCAGTGCTGCCCCCACCCCATCCCACCAATCCCTGCTGCCCACAGTCTCAGAGCCTCAGGCTATGGGGAAGAAAGGGGTCAAGCCCCCTCAGCAGCACCCTCCGGGGAGCCAGACACAGAACCAGCCCCGACTGGTGACCTAAATGGGGGCTTCCGCCCTCGCCCACGTGGCCAGAGAGAGAATGAGCTGTGTGCTGGGTGGGGGCCCTGGCCTCACTCCAGCTGACGGGAACTCAGCCGGGGGTCTGCCGGGGGCAGCAGGGGCTTGAGCCCCACACGGCGGGCGGCACGAGCGCGGCGACTCAGGAGAAGAAGGCGGCCCGCACGCTGAAGCCGGGGAGAGGGGACGCTCTCAAGTGGGCTGTGTGGCAGCTGCTTCCCCTGACCCGCTTCACCCTTTATCACAAACGTCGCCAGGTCCGGGCCAAGAGCAGAGGTCACTAGGGTTCAGTAGAGGACTCCCAGGGGTTCCCAAAGGTGCTCTGGGCATTCAGCCGTTAAGGGAAGTAAAGGTGCCTTTTTAAACCCACAAGTACAGTCACAGAATAAGGTGCTTTTACGCATTTATTCTGACTGGGATGGCTGCCGGCCGCTGCTTCTGCAGACCCTCCAGGCCCTGGTCCCAGCTGAGCCTGCAGGTGGCTGGCCCCAGCACTGTCCCTGGTCATCCTGTAGCCACGCAGATGCGGGGCCCAAGAGGGGAGCCTGTGTCAGTGTCCTGGGGCCACGGTAACAAGGCAGGTTCACTGGGTGGCAGGCCAAAGCTCAAGCCCACACGGTGGGAGGAGGTGAGGGTCCAGACCTGAGGAAGCCCACGGGGACAGCATACACTTGCCACCAAACACTGCTCGGAGCCTTAGTGTCCCCGTCTTCCCCTCGGGGGGGGGGGGTCAGATTCTCTGCAAGTGAGTCCAGCTGTGGACGTCGGACCAGAATAAACACGGACGATCGAGAACCGTCAGCGCGAAGTGGACGTGATAACAGAATTAGACCAGCACAGATGGCAGATGCGAGTGGATTTGGGGACTGATAAGTGGGTCAAACACACCCGGGAGAAGTCAAAAATGGAGCTGTCGCCTTTCAGTGCTTGCCAAGAACTTGTTCCTGGTGCAACGAGGTGTCAGGGGACGCGTGCAGCCTGAACACCAGAGGAGACCCTTGCTGGACAGAAGGCAGACGCGAGCTCGTGGGAACAGCCCACTCCTTCCTTGTTCCTCTGGGAAGGCTGAGGGGGAGGCAGGAATCCCGAGACCAGCAAGCAGGCATCCATAGCCCTTCGCCCAGCCCAGAGATTTCCTTCTTGCGGGGCTGCTGCAGGTACTTTCTGGAAGTCCCTGGGGCTGGACGACAATGCGTGGTGCAGTAGGACCAGGAACGCACATGCCGCAAAGGTGCAGGCCCCCCCGTGATCCCAGCGGAGCGCCCCCATCTGCTCCCCCGGGGCCCAGCTCCCGGCCCTGTGGCAGCCAAGGCTGGAGGGCTTCCTGGCGTCGGGGATGGAGGGCCAGTGGCCTTGCGAAGTCGTGGCTCCAGCAGAGCCTCCGGCGGGGGGAAGGCCGGCCGACCTTCAAGCTTTACAAGCTCCAACCATGAGGACAGACGTCTGCCGACTTGCTGACCACCCAACTGTCATTTCAGCTCACCCTCTGCTTCTCAGTCCTCCAGGGCCTGTGTCCGAGCTCGAGGCCCAGAGCTGGCAATCCCGCAGCCAGGGACTGGGCCCCCAGGGCAGGCAGGGGAGGGAGCTGGGCCGCGGCCGGCAGGCGCGGGTGGGCCAGGCTCAGCGTTAGTAAGGACACACAGAGGGGCTGGGGCCGCCACCACGCGGGAGGGACAGAGAGCTCTGGGGCCCTGGCCCACAGGCACAGGAGGTCTGGACTCGGAGCCACAGAGCGGCGGGCATCCTGACCCTCACGCTGAGGGCCACGTCCCAGGACCGTCACGCTGAGGGCAGCGGCCACGTCCCAGGACCGCGGGGAGCCTGCAGGAGCCTGAGTTGGACACCGGAGGAGCTGCCTGCCCCACGGAGCCTGCGCGCCCGGGCCTCTCCTCTTTCGTCCTCACCTGTGTGCTCCTCACCTGTCACCTGGAAGAAGCCCCTGCCTGAGCCCAGGGGGTCTCAGCCTTGCCCAGGGCCACAGCCCCACCGTGCCTGTGCCCTGCAGGTTCTGGGCACCAAGGCCCCCATGCCCGCCCTGCAGCTGATCCCCAGCCTGGGCCTCACCTTCCCCCTCCCGGGCTCTGACGTACCAGAATTGTTCTGGGCGCAGGAGACGTGGTGTCCAAAGCGTGTGCTGGCACCCTCTGTGCCCTGCTGGGGGACGGGGGGGGGGCGCAAAGCCTTGCTGTCTCCCCATGTGGGCTCTGACAGCACGGATTAGTGGTAGGAGACAGACAAGTCCTTTCCCCAGGGGGCTCTGCTCTGCCCCATCTGGCACCTGTGGCCTGGGAGCCGTGGGGGAGGCAGCCTCATGCACTGACCTCTGGCCCCTGAGCACGGCTAGCCCAGAGCCCTGCACCGCTCCAGGGCACCCCTGACCCACCTGCTTTCTCCCGAGCAGTTGGCCGTCCGCTGGCACATCTTCCCCCCAAGGCCGCGAGCTCTGCCTCCACTCGGCACCCTCCCCTGCCTGCTTGTCCACAGCCAGCAATGCACAAACGCTCTCCTGTGTCGGAGAAAGGCCGCGCGAGTCTGCCAGCAGGTCCGAAGCCGTGCGATGCACGTGGGGACCAGAGGTGGGAGGAGCTGGAGGTCAGGTTAGCAACTCTGGTGTGACCGGTGACCACCCAGGTGACATGTGTGGGGGACACGGCAAGGCGCTCGCTGTCAGCAGGTGGTGTCCCCACCCTCCCCTCTGCCTTCAGCTCTGCACCTCAGATGTCAATCTGCTAGGAAGAGACTCAAACCAGACACCACGTTCTAAATCCAAGGTGCGGACATCCCTGGCCAGCAAGAGGCTGTGTGTCACGCTCACGTGTCCTCTGGCGAACGGTCAGCGCGCACAGAGGACACGCTGGTGGCGGCCGTGGCAGGGGCTCACGGGGGCGGGGAGGAGAGAGCTGAGCTCCCCAAGTCTAGATGAGGAGGGGAGCGTGAGGATGGGGCCGGAGACGGCTCTGTGGCCTCGCCGCACGGCAGCGGTGTGGACGACGCGCCGTGAGAGGCGAGAGGAAGGTGAAGCGGCCACGTGCTGCGGCCGGAGCCCCGCAGGGAGGGCGCCTGCAGACAGACACCCGCCGAGGCACATCCTCCTGGCATCTGCGCTCACCGTTCTCTCGGCGACGTCCACGCCGTGTCCTGGGGACAACTCGGTCAGCCCGACAGTTTAGGTTCCCTCTCGCTCACGACTGCGAGCTCCCGGCTCTGCCCTCGGGCGCTGGGGATGCCAAATGGGAGAAGAGGCGCCTCGAGGCCACCGGAGCACAGGCCGCCTGCCCGGCACCGGGGGCGCGCGCAGGTGCGAGGGACGTCCTGCCCGCGCGTCCCCACCCAGCGGCAGGAGGGAAGGGCACGGAGGTGCTCTGAGAGATGAAGGCCACCGGGTCACAGCAGACCGGACGCCACCCCCTCCCTCCCACAGAGAGCGCACGGGTCCCGTCTGCGGACGTCGCGGGGGCCCCAGGCGGCCCCTCTGCGGTAAGGACGCTGGTTGAATTGAACTGCTCGGCTGCTGAAGCCCATGCTGACGGGACACTCCACTCACGGCGCCCCCCGGGAGCCCCGTAAGGGTCGGATCTCCCGGCCCCGGGTTCTCGGAAACCGGCCATACAGGAACCAAAACATACTTTAAAAGTCAAAGTGACAGCTTGGCTTTGCAAGTAGCACGGTATTCACGTGGTCTCTCAGAGAACGATGCGGCAGGGTATAAATCATCCTGATCTTTGAAAACTGTCAAAGATTAGTTTAATACGAAAATCTAAAAAAATTCCAAAAAATATCAATTAACTCCTCTGATTATAAATGACCTTTATTAAAGCAAGCATATTCTTAGGATTCAAAACAAGTAAATGACATACGTAAGACAAACTGACGTGAGTGTTTTATTTAAGATTATTGTAATAAAAACAAACAGACATTTGAAAGATATTTGTTATTTTAGAAAACAAACAGTAAGGACTAAAAGTAACTTCCCAAACTCACCGCCAGAATTAAAATTTCGCATCACAGAAATGTTTGATAACAAATATTGGCCAACAGATTACAACACAGAAGTTGAATAAATAAATAAGCCTTTCTGATTTTTTTTTTTACCAAAAAATCATGAACTGATGAAATAACAATAGAAAATGAACATTAATTTCAGGAAAAAAAGGCACATCCAGGCAAAACCGTCAAGGCGATCCGCAAAACACGTCGTGACCGACGACGCAATGTGTTACTCTGGACGGCCCGAAACCAAGGCGGGAGGCCGGCCCGCCCGGCGGACGGGGAGCCCCCTCCACGGAGTGCTCGGTCCCCGAGGCGAAGGGCTCCCCAGGGATGGGTGGCCGCACACAGGACTCCCTTCCGAAGCCGCGCGTCCCCGTCGCTCCCGTCACAGACTCGACCGTCTCTCCGGCCGAGGCACACACCTGGTGATGGCGGCTCGCCACAGCACCGGGGCCAGCAAGAGGCTGAGTGTGGTCACGCTCAGGACGAGAAGGTACACCTGCAACAGGCAAGGCTGTTGGCGGCCACACGCAGGACTAGGAGGTGCCCCGCACACCCCACAGAGCCAGGGGCGCGTGCACACGTGGACGGGAGCAGCGGGAGCCCTGCGCCCTGATGGGGACCGGAGCCCACGGGCTCAGGCCACCAGCTAAGTGAGCACGCGGCCTCTGGGCAGGTCTCGGACGGAGCCCGGGCGCGGATGTTGTTCCTCAGCCCTCGCTTCTTCAAAACCGAGCCCCATCCCATCTCCCTGACACGCGTGGGGACGAGGGGACAAGCGTGGAGGTCTGAACACTTACAGCGCGTCCCAGGCTCCCAGAGGAGCTTCTGTACTCCCTTGGCCTAAATCAGGGTGCGGGTGTGCAGAGCCGGCTACTGGAGGCAGCTGGTGGCGGGGGGAAGGGGGGCTCACGGGCAACAGGGTGCCCACGGGAGGTAGGCTCGCTGTAAGGGGGCAGCAGGCAAACGCCTGCCCCGGCTCAAGGCCCCACCCGACAGGCTCACACAGGTGTGCACAGAAAGGGCAAAACTAAAGTCAGGTGCAGGAGGGGGCTGGGGTCCCGCAAGGTTTGAGTGAACTACTGAGTAGAAGCTGGCATCCGTGAGCCTGGACATCCACAATCCCCAATCTGAGAGTGGCCCGTCCCTCAGCTGGAACCATGGGCCTGGTGAACGGGTCCCCATGGTTCCGAGTGCGTGGGGGAAGCGTGTGCGGTCTCCTGGCTGCTCCTACACCATGACCCGACTTTCATCCACTCGTCTACGGCAGAATCCCTTCAACGTCCACCCTGCTTCCGCCAGAACAGCGGCGTCACCGGTCCTCAGATCACTCAGGGCTCACACGGAGCCTGCTCTAAAGGACGTTCCCTTACCACGGTGGATGGCAGACTGTGGCCCACTGACCCTGGGGTGGGGGCCACAGCCCACCAGCCAAGCACAAACGTCCTGCTGGCCAAATTTAAAGTGACAACCAGGGGTCATCAGACGGTATTTATCAAGTTCTAACTCACGGCCAGTTTTCCAAGGGCAGATGAACGAGACTGGAGAGGACGACAAGGCAAGTGCACCGCAGCAGGTGGGCGTGCGTCCAGCCGGCCGGCGAGAAGGCCAGGCCCAGGATGAATGGACCAGAGATGAGGGGGAAGGAGGCAAATGGGGGTGGGGGGCTCACCTTCCAGGCACCATGAGGCTCAGCGCCCTGCACACTTCAAACTGTGGTGGGGGAAGGGGGGAGCTGATCAAAGACACCCCAAGCTTTGGGATATATTGATGCGTAGGAAAAACCTCCGAGTATTTTATACATAGGCAGTTTCTCATCATTTCTATTGAAGTTTTCATTCCAACTCCCTAAAACTTGGAGACACGGTGTCTTCAGAAGCACCTCTCACAGCAACCCAAACCCTTTGACAGAGGCAAGTGTTGCAACGTATTTTGTGAAAAAAACCAAAACAAACCAGGGACTTTCGCGTAACAGCGTTCTAGGTCTGCCTTTCCAGCAGTCTCCAGGTTCGGACCCGAGTTCTCGGACGTGGTCCCGGGAAGGCCGGGGCTCTTGGCTGGGCTGACGGCCATGCAGGAGCTAGCGGGGAGCTTTCAGACTCGGTTTTTCTCTTTTCGCCAGAGATACCAAGGGGCCGGGGCAGCGGCAACAACGGCGTCAGCCCTCCACACCAGGGCAGAGGCGGTGCGCCGGCCCCACGCCAGCGGCGGGCAGGGTGCTCAGACACCAGGGTGGGGTGTGTGGGCCGGGGCTCCCCAAACACACACAGAACGTGGGTGCAGACTCACCTCCCGAGAAATGATGCCCGCTCTGCGCGCTCTGCTCCCCAGCACGAAGGAGAGCTCGCTGACCTGCGCCAGCCCCGCGGCCACGATCCACTTGACGTACTGACTGCTCTTCGGCAGGAGGAGAGACAAGACCAGAGCTGCCAGGGCAAACTGCCGGGATGTCTGCGTCACTGCCTCGGCCGAGCAGAAACCAGGCAGGAGCCCTCGCCTGACACACTGGGGACACATGCAGAAGAGCCCAAGGGACAGACAGTGGCTGACAGAGACCACGCCAAGTAACACCAAGGCTCAGGCTCACTAGCAGACAGCTGGGTTTCCCCCAAACGAAGTCAACAGCGGTAGACCCTGGGCAGCCCTCAAGGACACCGGACTTCCTAAGGACAGCGCCGTATCTCTGTCACGTGAGCAGAGTCTAGAGGCGCGCAGCCCGGAACCCGTGGGGCGAGTGCCGCAGCCGCCTGGGACGCGGGCTCCTTCACGTCAGGGGCGCCTGTCGGTTCGGTGTCCGACTCTTGATCTGGGCTCGGGTCCGGATCGTGGGGTCGTGAGATCAAGCCCCCGTGGGGCCCCATGCTGGGCAGAGTCTGCTGCGTGAGACTCTCGGCCTCTCCTTCTGCGCCTCCCACCCCAGTTCACAGAAATCGGTATCTTCAGTCAACGTCTATAATCTACAGAGCCAGACAGCCACTGGACAGGTCCCGGGACCCCGTGGCAACTGGAGAGTGTCCGGTCACGGGGGACCGGCAGCCGGGAGGGAATCCTCAGCGGCTGCTAAACGGGACGTTCGGGGGGTGCCTGGGCAGGCTTGGGCGGCCCCCGCCCCGCCCCAGGGCCCTGCCCACGGCACCTCTTCTAGCTGGCTGTTCCTGAGTTATATCCTCCTACAATAAACCACCGATTTAGTGGGCAAAAATTTTATAATAATTTGAAAACACAGCGACAGTGAGCTGCACGCTCGGGAAGAACATCTGAGGCCTGGGGCCTCCTGGGACGTCCACAAGTCACGTTCCTGGCTCCGCTTTCGTGACTCCCCATTTCAAACATACCCGATTCTGAGGCAAATGAAGGAAAACAAACCCCAAGGCCCCGGTCCTCCCCTGCCAGGTGCCCAGACTGCTGGGAGGCAGGAGGGGCTCTGGGTAAGTGGCGTTGTTGGAGCTTTGCAGACTCAGTGTCACTGCGGGTAGGAGGTTAGGCTCTGTGCCCCATAAATAAAAGATGACGGGTGCCGTGCCAGCCGCGAAGCACCCAAGAGACCCCATACCTTCACGATCACCACCGACAGCGTGAGGACCATCAGGACGGTGAGCTCGTACACCACGAAGGTGGGGAACACGTGCAGGCCTATGAGGGAAAGGACAGACACGGTCACTCTCGCGGGTGACCACCCGCCTCATCCTCCAGTCACGAGACCGTGATGCTCAGGCTTCCTTTTTCCTCGACCCAGACAAAGTCACCTGGTGAGTGTGACCCCATGGGGCCCTGCACACATGGCTCACGCTGCTGGCGGCCCGGGAGCCGGCTGGCCACCGGGACAGCAGCCCGGGTGCCCAGGGCTATCCTCCAGCAGACCTCACCCCCAGCACTTGGCAAATGGCACAGCAGGCAGCGGCCGAGTCACTTTCCTTTATGAAAACATTCCATGCAAGGCGCAGACACTTCCGGGGCCTGGCCACTCGCAGCCACTCGCCGCCCTGACAAAACCCCCGAGAACAGTTTTCCCGCCGAAGCTGTGCCTGCTGGGAGGCTCTGCGTGCCGGGGAGCCCCTCCTCACTGGGTCGCCGGCCCCACACCCCTGAGGGTGGCACCTGGAGCTCACATCGGAGCAGGAACACACGCGGCCCCTCAGCAGCCTGCGTCTACCCGTCTGACTCAGAAACACAAACCCAAGAAGACAGCCTTCTCGTCCTGGAATGCAGACACGTCCACCCTTGATGGCCCTGCTGCTCCACGGGGGCGGCTGACAGAGCACCTGCCCCACCTCCTTCCCGGCAAAGTCCCTCTTCCCAGGTCTGCCTCGGCCTCCTCCCCAACCTGCGGTGCTCCCTGAGCACCCCCCATGGCCCAGGGCACACCCGGCAGGGCAGGAGCTGATTCCGGGGTCTTCGGCTCGCTGGCACAACAGGTGCGGACCAGCTCTGGCTACACCTGTGCTCCTCCAACTCGTCACGGTGTCACCCGCAGTAGGAAGTGACCAGCGTGAGCACTCCTGTGCCCGCATCTCCGACCAGGCCCGCAGGCATGGCCCAGACTGGGGAGCGGGGCCCTGCCCACCCATCTCCTACCAGGCACCCTGATGCTTGTGTTGCTGACTTGCCTCAAGGTTCAGGGGCCTCCCTAGCCCAAGGGTAAGTATGCGCTGGGCCCAGGCACACAGGCCAGACGGCAGAGGGTCTCCACTCCGGTGGACACTGGTGGGGACACTGCTCACTCACGACCTCCGTGCCGTGAGCGGAGCGCCACGTATGCAAGGCTCGGGGACGGAGACGAAGTCCGTGCTGAGGCATGCGGCCACCAGTCTTCCTGCTTACGGCCATTCACTCATTCATCCTCTCAACAGATACCACCCATGCTCCTGGGACAGCACAAGGGGCACAGGCCCTGCCCGCCCACGCCAGGGCCGCCGCCAACAAAGCATGGACCGTGGTGGGCCTCCCGACCTGTCTGCAGACGTGAACTTCAGGACAAACAAGCAAACTCAGCACGGGAACCAGAACGCGGCAGGCGGTCTGTCCGTCCACACCAGCCCCACGGTCACCTCGAGCGCGCACTAGACCCGCCGATGTTGGGGGGGAGCCGTCCCACCCCACTGGGGCCCACACCGGCCTCCAGGCGCCTCCGAGAATGAGGAGGGGCCGTGCCCACGTCTGAATTCCTCTCTGTGTCTCAGGGAGGGGATCCGAGGATGAAATCCTCAGCAAAAAGTCTGTAACAAGAAACATGTTAAAAAAAAAAAAGGATGCCTGGGTGGCTCAGTTGGTTGGGCAACTGCCTTCAGCTCGGGTCATGATCCCGGGGTCGTGGGATCGAGCACCGCATCAGGCTCCCTGCTCCACGGGGAGTCTGCTTCTCCCTCTGACCTTCTCCTCTCTCATGCTCGCTCTCTGTCCCAACAAATAAAATCTTAAAAAAAAAAAACAAAAAAAAAACATGTCACGGGCTTCATCCTTAAGATGAGAAGTGACGGGGGACTCATCACCGTGGTTGTGCAGGGTGGTAGAGGGCCACACGGGCCTGGTCACCTCCACTCCATGCTGCCTCTAGAGCTGCCCTGACCAAGCTGCCCCAGTTCACATGCTGAGGCCACAAGCCCATGTGACTGCATCCGGAGATGGCTTCCGGGGGTACTAAGGGTGACAAGAGGTCACAGGGTGGCTGCCTGAGCCGGGCAGACTAGTGTCCTCGTAAGAGAAGGGGACGCGGGAGTCCTCTCCTGCATCCCTTCCTTTGTCTCCATGTGTCCATCTCTCCATCTCGGTGTCTGTCCCCGAGCACACTGTGTCCCAGGAAAGGACACATGGGGACCCAGTAAGCAGACAACCACCTGCAGACCAGGAAGAGGCCCCCTCAGCTCCACGGTCGGCCGGACGCTGGCCTGCGTTTGGGCAGCCAGAGCCATGGCTCAAATACTCAACAATACAACATGAATGAAGACGCCTAGGGGGCTCAGCTGGGGAAGCGCCTGCCTTTGGCTCAGGTCTCGGGGTCCCGGAATCGAGCCCCGTGTCCGAATCCCTGCTCACTGTGAAGCCTGCTTCTCCCTCTCCCCCTGCTCTTGCTCTCAGATAAAGAGTCTTTAAAACAAGGCAGCACAAAGGAATGGGTCTGGTGGGGTCTCAGTGACACGGGGCTCACAAAGTCAGGTGCCAGCTGCGCCGTGATGAGGAGCAGAGCCAGCGACACCTAGAGCAAGGACATGGGAGCGGAGTCCGCACTGCACCCCCACCACACGTGCCTGGGGCCCTCCTGCCCTCTGAGGGTCCCGCCATCTGCACTGAACCCCCTCCCCGAGCGGCTGCTGCCTCAGCATTCAGCCCCCGGGGGGGGGCCCTCATTCACTCTGGACCCCAAACTGCCCTTTGCTGGTCACACTGGTCTCACTGCTCAGAGCTTGGTCAGGGCCCTCGGTGCCCCCGTTGTGGTTCTGGGACCCCAGGGTCACTCGCCCTGCCCAGGACTGACTGTGGCCCGTGGGCCCTCCAGTCCTATGGCCCCACAGGGCCTGACGCACGGCAGGGGTCAGGGACCGGGTTCGTGTGCACGTCACTGAGGCATCGTCCCAAACAGAACACTTCTGTGCTGCTCAGAACCCTAAAGAGAAAGGCCCAGGCCGGAGTGGCGGGAGGATGCACACACTTCTCGGCTGAACGTGATGGATCAAAGCAGAAACACGCGGCGCCGTCCCGTGGCTGGGCACCCGCGATCTCTGCAGGTCAAGAACCCTAACGTGAGGAAGGGCGGAGCGTGCCTGTCGGAGCGCGTCGGCAGGTTTCTCGTCTAGCCAGCACACGCTGCCGCAGCCCCCAGCCAGGACGCGAGCCACGCGGGCGTCCTTGCAACGCGGCCCCGGGGAGTGTGGCCCAGGACCTAGTCAGGGGGAGCTGGCACCTGTCGGCCTCATGGGTCCTCGCCTGGAGAAGCAGCGGTCGGAAGGGGGAGAGCAGGATGAGGGGACCTGGGGGGCAGGAGGGACAGAGACACACAGACCCAGACACAAGGACAGAGGACAAGGGACGGGACGGGGACGGACGGGAAAGGGGGCAGCGTGAGGGGCACGTGTGGGCGAGAAGGTTCTCTCGGAACACCACGGACACCCATCCCTAGAGCAGCCGCGAAGGGTCTCCTCTCGCCCGGTGACAGGCGGTCTCCCACCCTGCACCCTGCTCTCAGGGCCGGCCGCCCACGCTCTTTGAGGTTCTGGGTCTCGCTGGGGCGGCCCTGAGCCCCTCAGCGGGTGCAGGCGTGGTACAGGAGCTTCCTGGCCGGAAGGCGGCCGCTGCGTGGGCACCCCAGGTGAAGAGACGCCCGGCAGAGGGCACTGGCAGAGCAGCGACCTCCACCGGGCAGCTGAGTTTTCTGGCATCGAAGTCAATCTTCCCTCCCAAACATCCTGTTTGGGGCTGACTTTAAGCTGCTAACCTGCTGGGCACCTGTGCCTTTCCCACGGAGTCGAAGGTGGGGTCGTCCTCCCCGAGGGCATCCGAGAACCCCCGGACCATGGCCGCTGATCAACAAGTTAACGTTCCCGAGTGCAAATGCCCCCTTTCTATTAAGATCTCTCTGCAGACCCCAACTACTCTGGGGCTGTTCTGGCTGCACAGACCCAAATACGTGAGTAGGTCGCAGAAGTCTCACAGCCACCATGTGACTGTCCCAGGGTGACAAGGCGGTTACCTATGGACGCGAAGAAGATGATAACCAGGAAGTCACGGATGGGCTCAATGGAAGCCACGACCTCCTCGGTGACCATGTGGCCTTGGGAAGAGATGAGCGCGCCGGCCAGGAAGCAGCCCAGCTCCATGGAGACGTCCAGCAGCTCCGTGACCTGGGGGAGACGGAAGGGCCACATGTCACTCATGGCCAGGGGTGGGTTCACGCCCAAAGGCAGGTGTGTCGTCACAGCAAAGGCTCATCTTGAAGTCCCCAGAGGGGCCTCTGTGGGGACGAGCGGAGACACACGCAGCAAGTGAATGTGAGTTGAATCTGCCATATAAGAAAAAAAAATTAAAATTTGAAAAAATCATTCAAATTTTTGAATGACATTTTTGAAAATTTATTTTAAGTATTTGTGACAGATTTTCTTTGTCCTGACTCAGTGACTACCCAACTACGCCAAGAAAACACGTTCACGTAAACCGTCCCGTCTCCAGCCAAGGGCATGTCGAGGGCAGTGTGACCAGCGAAGCCCGAGGGCACGGGACCCCAGACGGGGGCGCCCGCATGTGCAGCGGCCGGGTCGCCGCCCAGGTCCGGGCTCCGGGGCTCCTGGCGACGGCCGTTAAACGCAAAGCCGGGAGGCGATCCCGACACAGAACGGCCTGAAAGCAGCTGCCGTGTCTTCCTCTGCGGAAGCGAAGCCGCGCAGAGGCCAGCAGCCACCAGAGAGGGGCGGGAGGGAAACTCGCTCCGCAGCCGCGCCCGGGACGAGCCCCACCACAGAACGCACGACCCTCGCACCAAACACCGCGGAGCCCCGCTGAGAAACCCGCGCGGGAGCGGCCGCACACGTGCGCTCACGGGCCACGGCTCGCAGGCCGGCACCGGGCTCTCCCTGCACCCGCGCCCCTGCAGTGGCGGCCCACGCCGAGCGGACTCCGAGGCCTCGCGGCTGCTGGAGAGCCCCTGAGGGCCTGGGGAGCCGGGCAGCAGGCGGGGGCAAGTGGAGAGTCAGACCTGCACACTTGTGCTCACACACTCACACGCACTTATCCTTTCACACGAGCACACGTACAACCACACACTCGTACACACGTGTGCCCACTCTCATGCCCTTGTGCTCACCCGCACAAGCGCACTCACACCCACACACTCGACGCCTCTTGGCTTCTGACAAGGTGACCTGCGCCCCGGCGCGGCGTGGAGAGCCACACGCAGCACCAGACGTCGCGCACGGCCCCGTGCCCCGCGCTCTCCCGGCCCCGCGACGGCCGCGGCTCTCAGGCAAGCCGCAGAGCAGGTCGTCCTGCAGGAGACCCGGGGAAGACACAACCTGCGCGGGGCCGCGGAGCGCCATCCGTCCCCAGCCTGGAACTTGGAGCATAGGAAAATCAAGAACTTCCGTTTATTAAAAACGCTATGAAGAGAGCGGAAAGGACAGTCACAGATGAGAAGATACTAAGCAAACATGTGGGACACGGAATTTCGGCCATAAAGGGAGCGGAGTGCAGAAACCCAGGGCGCCCCCTCGGAGCAGGGACGTACGGGCGAGTCCGCGCGCACAGAGAGCAGGAGCGCAGTCACTGTGCCACGGGGGGACGGGCGAGCCTGGGGGAGTGGGGGTTTTGGGGAGCAATGACGGAAATGTTCAGACAGCGCTGACCGTTGCACGGTGCTGTGAACATGCTGAAAACCACAGACTTGTACGCTTCCGTTAAAAGGGCTAAAATGGCTGATTTTGTTATACATATTTTTAGTAAAAAGAAGCAAAGACAAGAAATTTCCCAGAATATGTTAAAAATTCCTGCAAATGAGTAAGAGAAACAGCCAATGCAACAGGAAGCGACCCGAGGCTTCTGACGGCCGGCCCCAAGGAGAGCGTCCACGCGGCTCAGGAGGGACGTGGAGTCAAAGCCTTGAGGAAACACCGCATGGGTGATGGGGAGGGCGCGGAGACCCTGACGGCTCCGTGGCGCGGGGGTCGACACAGCGCGTCCCTGGCTGCCTGGCACCCACCTCAGCACCAGCAAGCTGACGCCCACGTGCCCAGCCGGGAGCACGCCAAGGGGGGCCGTGAACGGGAACCAAGCCTAAGAGCCAACGACAGAGGACGGGCTGTGTCACACTATGTCAGCGCAACGAGGGTGCCTGAGCTGTAAGACCGTCTCGGGAGCAAGCCGGCCGGCACCTGACGCGCGTGGGGACCCGAGCAGCTTCTCAGGAGGAAACCAGCTGAACCTCTGCAGCCGCTGGGACGACAGACGGAAGTCATCCGGGCAACTCGGCTTTGCCGAATGTCATTGTCAAGAGAAATTCTCCAGAATGGACAAAGCAATGTAAGAAAGATGAAAAACGTCACACACGTGAGCAGCTTTGAGCAGAAGCCAATCAGACTTCTGCCAAGATTATAAAATACTAGTCGATGATTAAATCATACACAAGGAAACAGTTTTTGTTAAAATCCTTTGAATTAAAATTAACCTTTTAGTTTCGAGGGAAGTGTTGATTCACCCGCAGTGTGGGAAACCATCCAAGGGGGTCGCACACACCCCTTGCTCGGCCCCCCAGTGGTGGCGTCTTCCTAATCAGGGCACGAGATCACAGCCAGGCTACGGACGCAACACGGTGCTGACATGCACAAGGGTCCGTGACGAGGGTCCTTCCCCCACCCTCTCCTCACCGCCTGGCAACCGGCAAGCTCCCCTCCATTCTGAAGTTCTACCATCGTCATCGTCACGTGAATGGAATTACACAGTGTGTGACCTCAGGACTGGCTCCTCCTGCTCGGGACAGTTCCCGGACACTCACACGCCAGCTGTTTCAGACCTGGGCGGTCCTCTTGGTGCAGACGGACCACAGCTGGTGGAACCGGGCACCTGCTGAAGGACTGGGGGCTCTGGCTGCTGTGAGACAGCCGCTGCGCACATTCCAAGCTCAGCTTCTGGTGAACCCGGTGAGGGGAGCAGCTGCGGGGCTGCAGGCGACGCCAGCGCCGTGGACTGTTTGCGGGGCTCTAACCGCCTCTCCCCCGTTCTCTCGTTAGGAGTATGTCCTTTAAATAAGAAGGCTGCTTCTAAAATGAACCTATTTTCTTTTTCAAATTTTCACATTATGGCAAAAGAAGTTACACTGCTGACCAGCTTTGTCATCACCGGATAGGACCAAAAACTGTTCTAAACAGTTAATCCGATTTCGGACACAGAGCTGTCCGAAAGTCTGGGACAGTGTAGCGCGGGTGATGCCGGCAGTCCACGCGGCTCTCGCAGCCAGGCAGACCTCCTGCAGTCCCACACCCGAGGAGCCCTTTCCGCCAAGTGCCTAATGAATGGGGGCACCTGGGACGCTCAGTCTGCTGTTCAGGTCAAGATCTCAGGGTCCCGGGATCGAGTCCCACGTCAGGCTCCCTGCTCAGCGGGGAGCCTGCTTCTCCCTCTGCTCCTCCCCGACTCATTCGCTCTCAAAAATAAAATCCTGAAAAGTACGGGAACAAACAGGTTTAGCTTGTTGTATTAATACTAAGGGGGAGAGTAATGACTGTGCATAAAATAAAAATACAACCATGTGTTTCAAATATTTCAACTACATTAAATTAAAAAGATAAAGAACTGATCATAAGCTTTCAAGTCAGTATGTAAGTAACAGGTATTTTGAGAATTACCATTAACATTAAAAAGATGAAAGCAGAGATTCCTAAGATAAGGATTTCTTTGTTCCCTTTGCCTTCCACATGCAGTTTCCGATAATATGGTCCAATGAGGTAAGTCTTTACAACAAGACACAGAAGAAAGGCGGCAGCCAGCGAGAAGAGGCTCTGACCGACCAAAGCCAGGATCCGCAGAGTCTCCATGACAACGCTAGGAGAGAAGAAAGGGGTGTTATTTCACCTCCAGAACACCCTTCCCTAACACCCAATAAAATGGGCTTCCACTCGTTTTTCTCTGACGTCACAAAATAAATTTCCCAAATCATTTTTATTTCCAAATACTAAAAACCTATCAATCACATTAATTCTAAACAACTTGGTTCAAACTGATTCTTTGACTCAAATATGCAAGCTCAACTGTTTTGCCATCAACTTTGAAGCAAATACGTGTTATGGGGCATGAGGACTCCTGACCGCAGCTCACACGGCTCAGTGACTGGGACAGAACTCCTCACCCGGAACTAACCCCCACTCGAAATTCCTCCCGAGGCGACCGTCACCCTGCAGGCTCAGCACTCGCGGTCCAGCCACACGACCCCAGAGACCTGCCACCGAACAGCCCCTCGTGGCCAAGCCAGAACCCCGAATTTCCTGTGGGTCACTTCATCTCAGAGAACAGGATTTGGGGCTGAGCTCCTATTAGAATACGCTATTTACTTCTCGGAAAGTATTCTAGATCTCAGTCAAAAAACTCACAGGGGAAAGGCACTACTGCGTGTTTATTTTTACAAGGAGTACGCGTGTTTTTCACTTAATTAAATTTATTTTTGAAAACTTAGTTCATATTTACGAAACGATTTAGTCTAAAATTCTGGTTTAAAAGTTCTCAGTGGGAGAACACTGATCTGATTACTAGGTGAGAATTCATCGCTGTAGTCAAAGCTTAAACTAGCAGCAATGGGCACGAACGTCAAGTCGCGCACGACAGATCACGTGGGGGAAGGAGACCCAGCAGGGCTCGAGCGCCCTCCCGGTGGAAGGCTCCTCACGGGTTCCCCACGAGGGAGGCCAGCGTATGGACGCGGGGGCCGAGTCCCGGCAGGCCTGCACGTAATACACATTTTGTTTTCAAGTGACTTGGGAGCACGTACCACAGACCATATCTGAGTCCACAAGATAAACACCTCAACAAACTTAGGAGAGTTAAAATCATACAAAGACTGTTTGTTCCGTGACCACAGTGGAATCAAACTAGAAATCAGTAAGACAAAGAGAACAGGAAAATCTCCATGAACACATGGAAATTACGCATCAGACTTCTAAGTAATCCACAGGTAGAAGAGGAAGCATCAAAGGAAATGTTTTACAATAACTGAGCTGAATGAAGATAAAAATGCAATATATGACAATAAAAGAAACGCAGCTAAGACAGAGCTGCAAGGAAAATTTGTAGCACTCAGTATAGTAGAAAAGAAAAAAGGCTTCAAATCAATAACCTATGTTCACAACACAAGAACCTAGAAAAATATAAGAGCAAAATAAACCCAAAGTGAAGGAAAAAAAAAAGAAGGAAAGGAAAAAAAATATGTAAAAAAAGGAGGGGGGTGGAAACCAACGAAATTAAAAACAGAAAAACAAAGAGGGAAAACCAGTGAAACAACGGTGGTGATCTGAAGAGACTAATAAAACTGCCAAAGCTCTAGAAAGACTGACCAAGAAAAAGAGAAGATGGGGAGCAAAAGGGATCCGACAGACACCAAACGGATGATAAAGGAACCGACCCACAGTTCTACACAAACAAACCGACGAACGAGGCGGCACGGACCACCTCTCGCGGAAATCCAGCTGTGGCAACCCATGACCTGAACGGGACCGCTAGGCCGACTGAATCTGTAACCGAAGGAAAACGCCCGCAAAGAAATCTCAAGACAGGCTCCAGCGGAGGATTCTACCAGATACCAAGGAGGAAGCAGCCGCAGCTTTGGACCACGTTTTCGGGAAAACAGGGACAAGGAGCACGTCCCGACGGTCTCAGGGGGCTGGTACTCCGCGACCACCAAACCAGGAAGGGTCGCACACCAGTGTCGCTCACGAGCGCAGGCGACAGGATCGCACCGGGAGGTCCCAGGGCACAGGCGCACGTGGGACTCGCCCTCGCTGCTCACGGCCGGTCTCGCGGCCGACCCAGCTGCCCGGGACCGCGCCGAGACGCGCGGGGCGGCACCGGCCGGAAGGGAGCGCCAACAGCGGACACCGTCCGCAAACCTGGAAGGGAGCCTCCCTAGCCCCGCGAACACCTACCGAAGCCCCGGGTGCGCGTGCCCGTCCCGCGAAGGAGCAGCGGAGGCCCCCCCGCCACGAGGAGCGCAGGAACGCGCGCTCTCGCGCTGCTTAACGGGGCCCGGCGCCGCGGCCTGGCGCCGCGCCAGGCGAGGCGGCCCCGGGTGAGAGGAGCCAGAAGGGACCGGGGTCAGCACAAGGGGCTCCGCGCACCGTCCGAGCGATTCCCCTCCCGGCGGGCGTTCCCGCAACGGGCTGTGCGCGCCGCAGAGCCTGCGGCTTTCGGCGTCAACGTATTCTTCCGCTTTCCCTTCCGACTTCTCTGTCCACGTGAACCGAAGCAAGGGCAGCTCGGGTTCCGGGACGACGTTCTGGCCGGAGGGGAGGAAGGACCCGGCGAAACGGCACCAGCGGAGACACGAACGACGAGAGCCCACGATGGCGCGCGCGCGCACACGCGCACGCACGCGCACGCACACACGCACGCGCGCGCACGCAGTCCCACGCACACGTCCTTCGCGCGGGCGGCCCCCACTCCCCGCTCCCGCACGGCTGTAAGCGCTCTTCTCTCTCAGCCCGTCTGCTCCCAACTACTGTCAGGGAGTGACCCCCGCCCGTCCTCGACCACCACACGGAGCACCGGCGCGGCCCGGTAGCTTGCCGGGGCGACAGACGCAGGGCCGGGCAGCGGGCAGCACAGCGGGGACGGCGCGCACCTGGAGTGGGAGCCGGCTCCGGCCTGGATGAGGGTGGGCATGCCGGCGATGAGCAGCCCCAGCTGCACGTCCTGCACCACGAGCATCCCGAGCAGCACCGCGCCGTAGTCGACGTCACCTGCCGGACGGAAAGCCCACCGGTAGCACAGGGTTAGAGAGAGAAAGTGTCCCGGGCTGAAACACAAGCATCGTGCAAATCTCCAAAATAATTCCCACACTTCCGACGCCTTCACAGAACGCATGCAGACGTGAAAATCTCTTGGAGAGCAAACACGGAAACATCTTAAAAACTTTTCGTAAAGAAAACCTCCACTTTATAGGAACTATCTTTTACTTATATGATTACAGGGAAAAACGCCATCGTACAAAGAAGGCGTGGACACAAGAAGGTGACGGCCCGGATGGCCAATTTCACTGCGTCCCCAGAGCAGGGGAAGCAGCTCACGGCCAGCCTTTACTGCTCCCCGAAGCGATGCAGGGGACCCGGCCTGCCCCCTCCTGCTCGCACGTCCAGCCCGCTCTCGGCACCACTGGCCACCTGTCCCTGAGACAAAGGCAGCTCTGCTAAGAACACTGGGGCACCAGGTGGACAAACAGAAAGGCCACAGCCAGGGCCTGAAGGGACTACGTCGCTCCTCTGCAAAGACGATGGGACACGGGTACCATTTTCCTACCTAATGTGTCACATGGGCCCCCGACATCTCCATAGTCAACCAGCAGTTCTGGCTTTGGGCCCAACTTTTTGTTTCCTTTTTTTTAAAAGATTTTATTTGTTTGAGAAAACAAGGGAGCAAGAAAGCACAAGTGGGGGGGGCGGCAGGGGCAGAGAGAGAAGCAGGCTCCCTGCTGGACAGGAAGCCTGACGTGGGGCTCGATCCTAGGACCCCAGGACCAAAACCAGAGCCAAAGGAAGATGTGTAACTGGCTGAGCCACCCAGGCCGGGCAGCCCTGGACCAATCTTTTAAAATGTGTTTCTAAGAACTCAACTGTCATGTTCTCCACCCCCATCCTCATAAAATAAGCTGTTCTTTTTCTTAAAAAAAGAAAAAAACCTACTCCTACGAACAGATACTTAAAGGCCACTCTGATAACCTTACGGAAAGAAGGAACAGACCAAATAAAATAAAAATCCCTTAACACCAGCAAAAGACACAGCTGATCCTTCCAGGAGGCTGCGTCTATTTCCCATGCAAAGTTAAATTTCTGGAGAATAGAGAATCTCTTCTTAGGGTTTTACAGCATTCTGAATGTGTAACCCCCCTGCTTGTTGCTGTGTCCCTGAGGGTCGCACATCTCAGTAGCAAGAACCCTTCCCTCACAACAAATATGGGAGGAGTGCGACACCTTCAACAAACACCTAGGTGGGTTCACGAGCCCTGACTCTCTCCTGACCTTGGGGAATCTGCTAGGTCCTGTGCTCGCAATGACAGGGCCGTCGTCCTCCCCAAGTCCTCACACGAGATAAGGGAGCTCAGCCCTGTGCCCGTGCCGCTGCTGCTTCTTGATTTTGAGGAAATACAAAACCTCTAGTCACACCATACTTTTTAGAAATCGTCTTTGATGACAAACCGCCAGCACTTTCTAGATGGTTTTTAAGTTCTGTTCTTTGCCTCTCACTGGTTCATAGTCCAAGGTCTTCATTCAGTGGGCACGAACACCACCAGGAGGCAGGCAACACGGGACAGGGCGCAGGCCCCCGCAAGCCTGTACTCAGGACGCCCCTGCAGAGAAGGCCGGACGGGAGGGGACGCACGCCCACTGCAGTGACTCGTGGGGAAGGCAAGCGGTGTGGTCACGAGACGGACGGGATTACCCCGACTGAACTACTAAAAATTAGAGATGCCACTTTGAGTATTTCTTCATCTGTCTGCATTTTGCATTAAGTTTAATTTCTGTTTATCGCTACTATAGCATTTATTTTCTCTCCTGTTTCTATCTCTTTCATTAAATGCTTTAAGTGTAAGGAAAACCAAGAACATGAGGAATACCCACAGACCCGTTACTGCGCGTTGCTACACCGAAAACGTGTGAGACACTGGTTCAGATGTTTGAGAAGTAAGGTCCTGGAGACATTGCGGCGACTCCCAGCAAGCCCCCGTGGGCAGCTGGGCCCCTGCTGCCACACCCCCAATCAGCGCCTTAGTTCTCACGCGGATTGTTTCCTCGAGGGTTTTAACACGTAGGTAGCTGGGAACACCACTCGGTTGACTTTGCGATTACAAACTCTATGTGATAGAGTCAAAGCTTCGGCAACTTGGTTTTTGTTTCTGCTCTCCGTTATGTCCGAAAATTACCCACTGCTGATGCGTAAAGATTTTCTTAAAAACCGCTAGAGAGGGGGCGCCTGGGTGGCTCAGTGGGTTAAGCCTCTGCCTTCAGCTCAGGTCATGATCCCAGGGTCCTGGGATGGAGCCCCACACCAGGCTCTCTGCTCGAGGGGAGGCCTGCTTCCTCCTCTCTCTCTGCCTGCTTGTGATCTCTGTCAAATAAATAAAGTCTTTAAAAATTAAATAAATAAAAATAAAACTGCTAGAGAGGGGTGCCTGGTGGCTCAGTCGTTAACTGCCTGGCTTCATGTTGGGTCAGGATCCTGGGTTCCTGGGATCGAGCCCTGCGTCGGACTCCCTGCTCAGCGGGAAGCCTGCTTCTCCCTCTCCTGCTCCCCCTGCTTGTGCTCCCTCTCTCGCTATCTCTCTCTCTCTCTCTTTCAAATAAATAAAATCTTTAAAAAAATGAAAAATAAAAAAGTAAAACTGCTAGAGAATACAGCAATTTGCCCATTCCCCAGTCGATGGGCACTGGGGTTTCCAGTGTTCCCACTCCTGCAAGCACGCTGTGCTGGACACTCCAGCACTTTCGGGAGCACCCCCTCCCCTTGCTCTGTGCTCACGAGGAGATTCCCCTTTCATCGCCACTCCCGGCCTCCCCCCGGCCTTGTGCCCTACCCTGTCCATACTACTCCCACAGACGAGTGTGGTCCACCTGGGCAAGGGTACAGCGAGGTCACAGTGTAGGGGTCTCTTGCGGGCTGGTGTTTCCCAGGGAGGCCTCTGAGTCCATGTAGCATGGGGCTGGTAGCAAGTCTCATTCTGGGGAAGGGGACCAAAAGTCACCATTGCCACATCTTCTGTGTCACCTTTCATCATGATCAAGCTGCTACCATGACCTCTGGCTGCCTGACCCTTCATGAGTGTGGAAGGCTGGAGCTACCTACTGACTCCTTGGGGGTCTGGGCCCCACTATCCAATGGACGAGCCCGAACCCTTAAGAAGTGGAAAAGGAGAATCTGGGCAACACCACACCCACACGTGAAGATACGGGGCGTCACCCTTGGGCACGCACCTCCTTCTGCTCTCAGGGTGCATCTCTGAGGACACAGCTTTGCACAATTTCAAACTTTCCGTAAATTACATCAGACGAGACGTCTTCTGTATTTTGTATTTCTTCCTTGACAGCATAACGATTAATTCATTTTTACATCTGCAGTACTCCAGTATATACGAACACACCGTAATCTAACTACCCGTTGTGTTACTAAACACTCAGATTACTTAAATTTTTACTATCAAGAATCATTGTTTTGGGGGCGCCTGGGGGGTTCAGTTGGTTAAGTGCTTGCCAATGGCTCTGGTGATGATCTGGAGTCCTGGGATTGAGTCCCACGTCCTGGTGGGGCTCCCCGCTTAGCAGGCAGTCTGTTTCTCCCTCTGTCTCTCCCTCTGCTCTCTCTCACTTTTAATTAAATCTCAAAAAAAAATTGTTTTGAATATTCTTTCACATTTGAAGAGCTTTCTAGGACGTGTCTCTAGAAACGGAAACTTCTGTTTGTGGAAGTGTTCCCTTAAGCCCTGACCCAGCTCACACTCTGACAGTGCAAGGGCCCACACTCCTGCCAACACAGGACACACGGTCGGGGCTCCAGGCTGGCACATGCGCGGGCTGGCCCACACCTGTGTTCCCCAACCACCACTGAGTCCTTCTTCACCCCTATCCATGACGCACATCTTCTCCTCCCTGAGCTTGCCACCAGGATATCGGCCCATTCTCATTTGGGTGCCTTCTGTTCGGGTTACTGTTGAAGTTCCTGATGCGTACGAAGCATTACTTCTTTGCACCCCTTACATACGTAGCAACTGTCTGCTCTTAGCCCGCAGCTTCTAAAGAACGCCTTTTTAGCAGAAGTTTTGCAAGGTTCCATGTGTTCAGATTTGTCGACATTCTTTCTTCTGGATTCTGCATCTCGAGTTCAGCAATCCTTTCCACCCTGAGGTCACAGGGTAGCGGCTCTGAAGTTCTGCCCTGCACATTGAGGGGTTAAACCCACATCGAGCTGCTCTGGTGCACGGCTCAAGCGAGGACTCTGATTCTCTTCGTCCTTAAGCACAACTAATTCCCACCCACCCAGCCACCCACACGCTCCCCGCGCATGTGTGCGCCTGGCTGCCCATCCCCCTCCTGCCCCATCTGGCCTGGACACAGGGTGCTGCCCGAGTGCAGGGACAGGACCTCAGGGCTTGTCATCTGCTGCCCAAGCCCCACACTTCCAATTATTATTGGCTATTCTCGGCCTTTGCTCTTAACAAATAAACTGTAGGCTCAGCTCACCGAGTTTCAAGAAAAAACCTGTCAGATCTTTACTGAAGTAGACGGGAGCTTGTAAACTTGGGAGTCACGATGTCTTTACGTATTAAGTCTTCTCGTCATGAGCACAGGCTCTCTCCTCAGTAACATTTGGTACTTTTGTCCTCAAAGGTCACACACACATCTTTTCAGAGATTTACTCCCAAATTATTTTGTGTGGCCATTATAAATCAAAGCTTTTCTTCCCCCAAATGACATTTTCTACCGGCTCTGCAGGTACTGTGTGTTATCCTGTGAGCTTCATTACACACGTCCACAAAGCCCAAGTCTGTCAGTATGTCCACCCACCTCCCAAACCTGCAACCCTGGCAGCACCCCCGTTCCCACAGCTCGAGCTCCAGGCAGGCCTTCTACAACGTGAGAGAGCCTCCTCCTGACAGCCCCTACGTGAAACACAGGAGGCACGTTCTGGAGGAGGCGAACGGAATCTGTGAGCCTGGAAACACGCGTGGCTGTGCTCCTCTGCCTTCCCTGCCCAGCGCTCAGTGCGGGGAGAGACGGGCCGCCACGCCCCGGGGCCTGTGCGTGTCTGACGACGACTTCCCTTCCACCGGCTCCTTGGTGACAGCTCGGATGGGCACGACCACCGTGCGTGGTGGAGGTGTGTGGGTCACCTGTGTTCTTGGGCAGGTGTCAAGCCCTCCCCCTTGGTCCCTGGAGCCCTGCTGTTGTACTGGAATGTGCCGAGAGTACATTTATCCTCCTGTTTCCTGCTCGGTTCTGGAGTGCTACGTTCAAGCTAAAGGCTCACACGGTTCTTCAAGTCTGAATGCTAATGGCGGTTTCCTCCGCTCTGTTCTTCCAGGACCACTACCGGATCCGTCCTGAGCCTCTTAGCGCTTCTCCCCGCCTCATCTCGTGGCTTTCTTTTCTATGTCTTCTGTCTACACTGTGTCCTATCTTTGTGCGAACTGAATAGGTGTGATTCCTTCACTTACGTCTGCTCCAGCATGCTCAGCTTACAGGGTTAGGAGACCTGTCCGCATCCTGACACCGGGTGTCACGGGTCTCTCCTAGCTGGCGACGGCCTCACACACACCGGCACCCAGCGTGTGGGCCCTGATGCAAGTTGTTTTCATCCTCCTACTTCACCGTGACGGCCCCCTTCACCTCTGTCACGTGGGTCTTATGAGGAGTGGTCCTAATCACAGGGCTATGGGGACACTGGGGCCTCCACAGACGAGACCACCAACTAGTCCAGTTCCAAGCCAGGAGGCTGTATCCATGACCCGCTGGCTCACGAAGCAGCAGAAGACACGAGACTATGTGTGATGTTTCCCAGCCTCTGGTGCAAAACTCCCGGTGTCAGGCAGCGGGGTGCTGTGTGTGGCCGCAGATGACACCAGGAGCCCGTAGCCCCCAACCAATTCTCTGTACAATGAGGCGGGTCTTACCAGAGAAGCCAGCCCCACGGCTCTGGTTTTCCCTTTTCTTATTTCCCTCATTGCTGTGTTGGTGCAGGTAAATTTCAGTGTAAAGCTACTAGCACATTTAAACTGTTTTTTTACTTTTACAAAACAAAAACAGCGAACATCAGCATAACAAGTTCACGTGATGTAAAAAATGGCGGTGCGGTTGGAGCCGGGCTGTGCCACCGTGAGACAAGCTGGAACGTTCATCCCTCAGCTTCTGGGCCGGTCTGGCCTCACCACGTCCAGTAACCATCAGAGGCCAGTGTCTCACGCATAGAGCCAAAGCTGGTGCCTTAGGCCCCCGAGGCCCAGCAGGGAGGAGCACGAGGAATGATGTCTGAGAGCCGCTGTTTCAGGCCGCAGGTCCCAGACACACGTGACGACCCCACGCGAGCACAGCGCTGACCCCTCGTGGTTTCAGCTCAGGTGCAGCACGCTCATCTCCTAGGCCACCAATTTTCATTTACCAACATGGATCTGTTTCTCTTGAACGTGGTCCTCAAACTATCCTAAATGGACAAGCACGGAAATGCCGCTTTCCTAGTCCAGTGGAGACTGGAAAAGCTGAACACCGTGACTGGCCGCAGAGCCCCACGATGGGGCAGAGCTGTGACTCATCTAACAGCCTTCGGAGGGAATCCGAGTCAATGACCACCTGGTACCCCAACGCATACTTACAACCCGGCCCCACCTACCTTCTTTCTCGCCCCGGCCGCTGCCCACGAGGAATCTGGACACCAGCGGTGTGCTGGACAAGGACAAGCAAGTGGAGATGAAGATGCTCTGGGTGGGTCTGATCTGCAGCAGGTGTCCCCATAACAGGCCGAACGCAATCATCAGCAGCGTCATGTAACACGGTCCCTGGAAGGCTATCTTCCACACCTGGAAGAGAACACATCCGTTTACACATGTTTAGTGACGATGCGCAGAGCACGCACGCGCTGCCCGGACACGGGCCTCGGTCTTCCAGGGAGGAGCTCTGCCCTAAACACCTCATCAGCCCAATACCCAAAGTCACGATCTGAACACAATAAAAACAGCGGCCGCTCCTGTTGGCTTCCCGAGTGCTCAGTGCTGTCACAGGGACGAAACACACGCCTCTCTCTGTGTGATACGTGTCCTTGCACACATCACCTAACCCTCTCGGCGCGTCGCCACAGTGGACAGCACCACCTCCCCCTCCCTGGATGGAAACACGAGTCCCATGGCAGCCAGCTCGGCTCGGTACCCCAGTACTGACGAGTACCTCGGTGTTCTCCTAGCACTGTGTTAGACATGATGGAAACTGTCAGGTTTGAGTCAAACCCTCTCGGGTTTTCAGCTGCGTGGAGGAGACACAGTAATGAAGGCAATCTGACACTGACACCAACAGGAACGGTAAATACTGACAAAAGACATCATCCTGAAACTCATCCTATCCTACTGGAAAGCACTGGCTCATTTTTTCTAGCCCCACACCCTCTCAAGCACTCCTGCACCCAGGCCCTCGGGCAAGGACATGAGGGGGCCCGGAAGAGGAGCAGAGGGGCTCAGCACAGAGGCTCTGAAGCCAATGCCCGAGACCCCACGGGCTGGCCAGCCTTGTCTGTGTGAACACACTGTTTCCCTTTTGGGGATCTGAAGGATGTGGCCTTGTCCTCCGCCGCTCTGCTTCTTGACAAGAAGCCGCACTTCCCTCAAAACCACAGCACCATCTCTGGGAATCAGCGCAGCCGGGAGGCTCTTCCTGAGGCCACAGCTCTTCCCACGGCCGTAACCGGCAGCCTGCTTGTCCGCCACAGATTCCAACTTCCCGAACGAACTGTAAGAGCCTCCTGGCACTGTCGAGCCCAAGTCAAATGGCGGGAGACTGACGGAGGCAAAAGAACTGGGATTCAGCCCTAAGCACAGAGCCGATCTGCTCTCTGCATGAGGTTCTGGCCAGCCCAGAGAATGCTTAGCCCCTGAGGCTGCCTCTCCAAGGTCCGGATGCCACACTCCCTACTTCCTGCCCCTGGCAGTGGTGATCGCTGTCTTGGCTAATGGTCTCCCAACAGCTCTCCCTCTTCCTGTCACAGCCAGGAGCGGTGGGAAGGCCCGGGCGCACCTGCAGAGCTAGCCACAGTGCCTGGGGAGGCTGGCATGCTGGATTTTAAGATTTCCAAGTTGTTGTTTTTTTAAAATATTTTACTTATTTGAGAGAGACGGAGCTAGTGAGAGACAGCATGAGTGGGAAGGAGGAGAAGCAGACTCCCCGCCGAGCAGGGGACCCAACGCGGGACTCAATCTCATGACCCTGGGATCATGCCCTAAGCCGAAGGCAGCCGCTTCACCGACAGAGCCGCCCAGGCGCCCCAGCGCTCCCAGTTTCAGGCAGCCCCTCCTGTAAGGGGCGGGGGTATTCCTGCCCGCAGTGGAGCCCGGAGCTCAGGCTTGACTCTGTCCTGGCCAGCTGGCTGGCTGTGCACCTTGGGGAGGGAATCGTCTCTCTACCCTGCATCCTCCGTCTGCAGACGAAGGCTGGGCTGATGATTTCTGAGGTCGCCACCACACTTTGGTCCGGAGGATGGGTATCTGTCTGCCCAAGAAGCACAGTGAGCAAGGGACTGTGGGAAATGTGGGCAGTGCCCATAGAGGACTCCTGCTCTACAGAGAGCATCTGGACCACCCTGCACTCCCGGAAACACAGGCCCTCAGGCCACACATATCAGAGCTGGCTGCTCAGCAGGGTCCCCAGGCAACTCCCCGTGTCAGAGTCAGGGCAGCGTACACCCCGCACATCTGCACATACACATACCAGACACACACCCCCTCGAGCTCCGTTTTCATGTCTCTGTCCACAACCCCACACATGCTTCTGAAATCCCAAGACCGGAGGCCCACAAGGCAGGGCCACACAGCTGTGTACACGGCCTCACAGTCCGCAGCCACCAGCGTCTGGAACAAGGGTCTACTGAGGGGACAGATACGGAGAAAAAAGGGAGAAGACGCGGCTCGCACACAGAGACCGAATGGCCGACGTGGGAGACAGATGTGGGGGCCAGGACACGGCCAGGCAGGGACGCAGACACGCGACAGACCGTGCGGTCAGGAGACAACGACGGCAACTTTGCTCGGCACCAATCACGAAGAAGCTCCCAGGACTCAGTGCTTGCAAAGCTTCTAATCAGACTTTCAGGTGGTTTCACAGGAGACCTAAGGGGGCCTTCCAGCAAGTCCTTCAAAAACCTACTGAACGATTTCGCACCCTGACAGAGCACATGGGTGACCTGAGACCGTGCTGGCTACTTCAGGCTGCCCTGGAGCTACGCCCCGGACTTCCTCTGCAGAACAGGAAAGGCAAACAAACGTGTCACTTGACGGTGTCCTTTACTAGGCAGAGGGAAACCCGCAAGCCCGTTGCAGGCGGCCGCCACGCCAGGCTCCGTGTGAGAGGAGCCCTGGCTCCCCCCAGACAAGGTCACTACACAGGGGCCGGGCCGTCCACGCGCCCTCCCACTTCTCACACCACGTCCCACGACGACCAGACGCTCCCACATCTTCCTCCCGAGCCCCCCCCGGGGCGCCCGGCCCAGTGCGATGGTAAACGCGGCGCGCTGCTGGCCAGCCATGGCGCCAAGGGCGTGCGGCTTCGGGCTGCGTCCCCCCAAGTCCGCGTGCCGCCGCCAATCGCTAACCGCAGACGCTACCGTGGGGAAAACCAGGAAGGTTGAAGGAGGAGAGCCCGGACACACGAATCATCAAACCCCTGACTGCGCAGGACACTGAGGTCCATGGCGCGCCGGTCCTGCGCGGAGACGGCCAGGCTCCGCCCCTCTGTCCCAACCCCGCCCCCAGCCGGGCTCCGCCCCTCTGTCCCAACCCCGCCCCCAGCCAGGCTCCGCCCCTCTGTCCCAACCCCGCCCCCAGCCGGGCTCCGCCCCTCTGTCCCAACCCCGCCCCCAGCCGGGCTCCGCCCCTCTGTCCCAAACCGCGGGAATCACGCTATTCGCCACCGCCGCTCTCAGCCGCACACACCCGAGCCGCAGAAGCCCACGCGAGCGCCGAGCGAGGACGGCCGCGAGGAGACCTTCCTGCCCACGGAACCCAGCAGACCCGGCCGGTCCCCGCCGGGCCACGGCCACACAACGCGCCCGTCAGCGCAGCGGAGAGCGCGCGCCCGTCCTGGCAGCTCCGCATCTGGTACGCCCGGCGCGCAGGCTAAGCCGGGGGCCCCCGGAGCCCAGACCCCCGGAGAACGCGCGGACGTGACCCGCGGCAGGCCGTGAGGGCGCGTCTCGAGAAGCACACTGGAGGAAGCGACCGGAGGACGGACCGGCGGAGCCTCCCCAGGGAAAAGCAAGACGGCAGAGAAACGACAGGTCCGAGAGGGACAGGGTGAAGCAAGGCGGCCGCGCTAATGCACGTTGCTGTTACCAACAACGCTCAACCCGTCTCCCGCGACACACGGAAGCGTGGCCACAGCACGGCGGCCGCTCGTCTGTCACAGAACCGCCAGCGCGGAGCCTGACACCTCCGTGGGTTCACGCTTCCAAACACTCGTGCTTGATTCTTTCGCTTGGACGGAGAGGCAGCATCTGCACCCGCAGCTGAAGGCTCGTCAGTCACCCTGCTGGGCCGGCCCGCCCGGGGTCCTCAGGCACCACAGTGGCCTGCCGCCCCTCCGCCGCCCCTCCGCCGGCGCCCCCGCCCCCCTCCCGCCGCCCCTCCGCCCCCCTCCCGCCAGCTCCGCAGCGGGCTGCTGTCCTCCTCTGCGAGGGAGGAGCTCCTCATTAGCTCCCTTCCCCTCTCCACCCGGGCGGCCCCCAGAGCTCAGGGCCAGCCGCTTCCCGGTTTTCACCGCTTCCACACACGCCCGGTCCCGGCGGCCACCGGCCTTGCAGGTACTGGCACTTTACAGGGACAGAAGCACAGAATCGGTTTGCCACTCGTTTAGGAATGAAAGACCTTTTTCTAGGGTAACACACTGAACATCTGACGTTGTGGCAGTTCAGCCTCGAGCAGTGTCTGACCTTTTCGGAGGGACCCCATCATGTAATCGCAAACACGTCACTTCTCAGACTGCTCATGAAATCAGCCCCACGGAAGCTAACTTTTATGCATTTAATTTTCACCTCTTCTAGCATTTTTTATCTTTCCGAATAGTACCAAACTAAAACCTACTCTAAAATGTTTAGTTTCAGGGGCTCCCAGGTGAATCAGTTGGTCGAGCCTCTGCCTTCGGCTCGGGTCAGGATCCCAGGGTCCTAGGATCGAGCCCCCCGTCGGGCTCCCTGCTCAGCGGGGAGCCTGCTTCTCCCTCTCCCTTGGCTGCTCCCCCTGCTTGTGCCCTTTCTCTCTGTGTGTCAAAATAAAATAAATAAAATCTCTAAAAAAAAGAGTTTAATTTGATAACCCAATCATGAGCCCACACTGAAAGGAAACAAACTGAAACCATACGATGATTAAATTGGGGGCAACATCACAGCTTGGTGAAGCCCTTACCTTTCTCAGCCTTTCCGGGGAGAACTCCAGGCCAACGAGGAAAAGAGTGAAGAACACACCGACCTCTCCCAAGGTCTCCACCTGCACAACAGACTGCAAGCACAATTTTAAACCGCACAGTCATGTATTTCACATCCGAGGTGTGCGTCACACGATAATCTGATGCTAACATACCCAGTGGGACCATCCCTACAGAGCAGTGTGTTTTTTATCTTTTTTAAGATTTTATTTGACAGAGACCACAAGTAGGCAGAGAGGCAGGCAGAGAGAGGAGGAAGCAGGCTCCCTGCTGAGCAGAGAGCCCGATGTGGGACTCGATTCCAGGACCCTGCGATCATGACCTGAGCCAAAGGCAGCGGCTTAACCCCCTGAGCCACCCAGGCGCCCCACACAGCGTGTTTTTTAAACTGACCTTCAGTGTGCTCCGCACCTGAGATGACTTGACCTTCCTGACTGCACTGTTCTTTCCCATTTCCTCCACTAGGGGAAGGACTCTCTATCTTTTTTCCTAAGAACTGGCTCATGAATCACCTGCTTCCAGGTTCAGGAGCCGCTACTGCTCTGCCTTCGCTCTCCCTGGAGGGTGGTGCGCACCAAGCCCCGAGGGCCCGCTCTCACGCGCCTCTGCACACGACTACGTGCACCCACTTTCCCTGGGCGCCACAGCTGGCCACGTCCCACAGGTTTCGAGATACCGTGTTCCTGTGTTCTGTGTTTGTTCTGGTTTTCCATTTGCGATTTACTTTCTATGCCGTGACGTGGTTAGCAGAGAATGCTTTCCTCACTGCTCTACTCGACACCACCTACATCACTCACACCGGTGGTTTCCAGTGGAGCCATGAACCGGACGTCTGAAAGCAAAGCACAGGCCTCTCCGCGTCGACACTCACCCTGAGCCACTGTGCAAGGACACGCACACAGCCTGCCCGCCACGGACAGGAAGGGCCCCACCCTCTCTTTCACTGCCATCTCCCTCCTTTCACTTCAACTTTTCTTACTCATTTTCATCGAATCCTGCTTATTGTGCATTTTTCCTGACACCACCACAAACTCGTATCTTTCAGTAGGGAAGTTTATTTCACTTCTACTCATCGTGATAACAGATTTCTGCTCCCACTCCTTCGTCTTCTGGCTTTTCCTTACTGCTTTTACTTTTCCTCCCTTTTTAAAACAAAGCTGTAACCTATGGCTTCAAACTAATACACTTAAACCTGTTCTTCTCCCCATAATGAGCACAAGCTTATCAACCTCCTACTAGGAAAAGGTAAGTATTTGGCACCATCACACTTCTTCCGTGAACCGCCTCCCACTTCTGGCTGGTACGCCCGGGTTTTCACCTTGGTCTACTGTAATGACATTTTTTCCAAAGTACAGCACATTTGTTAGGAATTGTAATATTTGTAGCTTCCAAGTGTAGTTTTCACCTGACTCAGCCTTTACTTATCATTTAGCCTTAATCCTTATAAGCAGTCATTGCTATGAAGAAAAAATAAAAATAGAAAAATACATTTGTATTTGCTATCATTTGTAAATACTCTGGAAAGGGAGGGATGGGACAAGGGCAGGAAGAGATTTTTCATCTACAAATATTTTTTTTTTTTTTTTACCCACACCATCTTGTCCTCAAACACATGGAGATCACTTATTCAGAAAACTGAATTAGAACCATTCTTCCCAGGGGCGCCCGGCGGGCTCAGTTGGTCAAGTGTCCGACTCTTGGTTTTGGCTCAAGTCGCCATCTCAGGCTTTGTCACGATCTCGCAGATCGGGCTCTGCACTCAGCGGGGACTCAGCTTTTCTCCTTCTGCCGCTGCCCCCACTCCATGGTACCCTCTCGAATATATAAATCTTTTTTTTTTTTTTTTAAGACTTTATTTATTAATTTGACAGAGACAGAGATCACAAGTAGGCAGAGGCAGGCAGGGGCGGGGGGAAGCAGACTCCCCACTGAGCAGAGAGCCCGATGCGGGGCTCGATCCCAGGACCCTGAGACCACGACCTGAGCCGAAGGCAGAGGCTTAACCCACTGAACCACCCAGGCGCCCCTCTAATATACAAATCTTAAAAAAAACAGACAACAAACTCAAAACCATTCTTCCCATAGGCCACCCTGCCACGCTGAGCCCAGGCCACAAGAGGACCTGCCAGGAAGGTCCTGGGCTTTGAGCCCGAGCACAGCCCCCATCCCCCTGCCAATCAGACCCACTGTGAAGATTACTTGGGGATGAGGACTTTTTTCACATCTTCTTCTGTTGTCCGGTCTAGAGAAGCTGCAGCACGCCTGCCCGGCGGGGTGTGTCCATTAGCCGCAGGGGAGAGGCCCCTAGTGGAGCGCCCACAACTCTCCCTGCCTGCCTGCCCGTCCTCCTCCTGAGGGCTCTGCTGCATTCCTCACCACCCCGCACGCTCCTTCCGTGTGGGACTCATGACACTCCTTCTGGCCATTCTCTGTTCCTTTTGTCGGAACTGTGTGTATCTAGACGGCCCATTCAAGAGTCCACAGAGTGCCGGCAACACAGGCTGAAGCTCACAGCCCCTGCTGCCACAGGCCCTGCTGCCACAGCCCCTGCTGCCACAGCCCCTGCTCCAGCCTCAGCAACAGCCGCCTCTATCCCAGCACTCTCAGTCTCCCGGGGCTCTCACAACACCCCACGTTTAGGCTTGTTAATTTGTCACTACTTTACCAGCTTCACCATATGGTACAAATATTTGAATTACATACTGAATCCAGCATTTTCAGTTGTTTTCAGTGTCTGAATAATATAATTCATACTATTACTGAAAACAGAAATTCTGAAACTAATAAAATTTAAAGACATGTACCAGGATTTTTTCTCTAGTCGAGTCATCCATTCACTAATGAACAAAATTATTTCCTTACGGTTTAGACATTTTTTATGAAACTGTTTTGTAGAGCATCTTCCTCAACATGGTTTATGAGAAACTACTATCTTTATCAATTCAAGTTCAAAACGTCAAAACCCTTTAGTCCGTGCCTCTTCAGTGTTCTGTTAAAGGAGACTACAACAGTCAGATTCTGCTCTTACCTTAATACTGTTCAGTCCCGAAGGCCCCAGAAGTACGCCACAGATAATATAACCGAACATCGTAGGCAGTCCTATTGCTGTGCACAGCCAGCCACAAGGTAGAGACAGCATTCCTATGGTAACGATGTCCTGGAGGGGAATAAACAAAAAACAGACACAGACACTTGAGGTAATCCTGGGCAGGACCAGAAGGGGCTGGCGGCAGAGAAAGCAGGCGTCCTGCGGAGCGGGCCCCTCCCCGTCCCGCAGGCAATGAAGGCAGGCGACAGCTGGGCGGACTTTCCAGGTGTGAGTCCCTCCCACCCCAGGAGTCAGCCACTCCCAGCGCTCCTTGGGGGTCACAGACCTTCCTCTCAGTGGGTGCCTCCATCCTCCTGAAGAGCAGCAAAATCCCGGCACCCGGGAGGACGCTGGAGACCCAGCAGGGTGTCCGGAGCCCGACAGCCTTCCCTGAGCTGCCCCAGTCACTCCTGTACCTGTTACCCTCTCCGGTCCAAGCCCAAGCAGTGATCTCCACCCACAGCTCTGTCAACTGCAGATCCTTCCGTAATCCCGTATCTTCTTTATCCCACTGGCTTCCCCAGAGGGCACAGACGTGAATCCAGCTCAGTCTAGAACGCCTGTCACCTCCTCTGGGGGAGCTGGACCTCATCCCACACCCACGTCTACACGAAGCCACCCACAACGCCGGAGCCGAAGCCTCTTGGCCTCATCCCATGTTCCCTCTCAGGGCCGAGCTGGAGCCCATCAGAGCAGCTCCTGACTTCACAGACTCCCAAATTCCCAAAAGAAAAATTAATTTTCATTTTAAATATTAAAATGCCTTATTCTCTTATTCTTTTGGGAACAAATAAAGATGAAGAGAAGCTGCTTCAAGTCACAGAAAACACGGAACGCTAGCAAAATCTCTGTTGGGAGGAAGGCTGTGCACCCTATGACGCTCAGGAAATAAAGCTCCGTCTTACTTCGCATGAACACCAGGAAGCGCGAAAGGAGTGGGGGTTCTGAGAGGGGAGCAGACAGACAGATGACCTTTAGAAAGTGGTGATCTGCGCGTGGAATGGTGGCGTCTCTGGGTTTGGTCAGGATGTACCGGTTGTTCTGGGAGTCGATCAGCATGCTGAGACCCAAATCATCCTCCACGTCCCGCTTTGTGAGGTTCTGCTTGGAATTGGCCTCTTCTTCCTCTACTCTAAGGACTGCCTCAAAATTGACCCCTTTCACCTGTGAGAATAACCAACACTGTGTCACTGGAAACAAGGAAATGTTCTCAATTTTTAGAGCAAAAATTCCATAAAAAAGTGACAGGAAACGTCTCCGGTGTTCCGTCGTGTGATGAAACACGGACACGTGCTCATGAACACATGTTGAGGAAAATTATTTCAAGTACAGAGGCGATTTAAGGCTGGAAGTGTTTAGGGTTTCTATGACTTCCAGACACCTGCTCTACCTGACTCAGGGTACACCTGTACCAACAAACACGCATTTGGTCCTCAGCCCCCTTCCTGGCTGACAGCACCCACAACCCGCGTGATTTCCTACATGCGAGGAGAAACGAGCACCTCACGGGCGCTCCGTAGCCTCACCTGAGCTCACGGCAGTGCGGGCATTTTTAGGAAGCCACTAGATCCCCACAGGACGGGGCTGCGGGAGGGAAGGGGGCGAGAGGCTAAGTTCATCACAGGCCCACACGAGGCGGCTCCCAGTAAACCCTGGCGCAGGGGCTCGGAGAGCGTCCGGCTGGGAGGAGGGAGCCGCCCCGGCGAGCGGAGAGCGGCATCCACTCTTCACCCCTTAACACCTGGCTGTTCCTCAACTGTGTCCTTCACAATGTCACCGTCACCCAGCAAAGAAACTGTCTTCCTGTGCTCTGGGAGCCCGAGGAGAGGGTCTGGAACCCGTGACGGACCTCTGAAGTGGGGGACGTGCCGGGCTGAGCCCTTGTCTGCAGGATCCGCACAGACCCAAGGTGCTGGGGGCAGAAGTGAACTGGGGGGGCGTGGCAGGGACAGCCCGATGGCCGGACACGGAAGAGCTCGCTGAGCACTGCGTAAAGGGCAGGCGAGCTCCCTCAAGAAGACACTCGCGCCCCTCCCTGCCTTGGCCGGCGATGCCCGAGAGCAGCCTGCGCGGTGCTCACGCCCTGAGTGGGGTTCCCACCTGCTTTCCTACCGCAGGCTTTTCAGCGTCCTTCTCAGGACTCACAGCCAATTTTTGGCATTAATGTCATTTTCCCCAGAGAATCCTCAACCTGTCAGAACAAGTGAGATGTCTGAGAGCCTGCGTCGGATACGCTTCCTAGAAGGACTTGACGGCTCCCCTGGGCAGATCCGCACTGAAACCTGACTGTCCCAGGGCAAGCTTTCTTAAGACCAGAGTCCCAGTCCCCCTGAAGGCAAAAGTGGGACAGAGACGAGCCACTGGTGAGGCACCGACAAAAATGCAAGGCAAAGGCAAGGGTTATCTAGCGGACTCCCACGGGACAAACCAGTCTCTTTCTGAGCCCGGCAGGTGTTCTGGTCCCGTCTTCACTTCCAGTCCACACCGCGACAGGCGCGCCGGCGAACTCAGCTGCACGCAGCCGAGCGGAGAGGGACGCGTCCCGGACTGCTACTCACGGACTTGTTGTCATCGAAAGCGTGTTCTTCTATTTCCTCCTCGAGGCGATCGGCTGCCTTTCTCACATCCTCAAGAATTTCGTCGAGTATGGATAAGCTTCTGTTCTGGTGCTGCATGCTTTTGAGAGCTTCGACCTGATGTTTTTCCGCTGCCAGAAGTTCCACATATTCTGTCTCCTCCTGTGCGTTGGTGAGAAAGGAAATCTGGGTTTATTAGGAAGAGGCCAGGCCGGGACTTCCATCCGAGTGCCTGGCCCGGCCACGCCAACCCACACGCTCTCACTGCCAAATCCGTTCGTAATCGTGTGTGTGGCTCCGGCCAGGAGAGGTCGAGGACCCTCCATCACTCGGACGTCACGAGCTCCGAAAACGTCAGGGACAGCTGCGTGATGGACACACCAACGAACGTGCTATAGCCCTGGAGTAAATTCTGAAGGTCATCTACTCGCGCAGAGCCCCTCACTGGACAGACTCTACCGCAGACACCACGCCGACCATGTATGGACGGCCGCGCTCCAGATACACCTGAGGTCCTGGGCCACTGGCAGGCAGCGGCATCTGTTCAGATGAGAGCATCAAGGTCTGTTGCCAACACACAGTCACACACGCCAAAGACACATGCTCCTGAATCAAGGGGGTCGAAAACCCTGACCCTGACTCAGCCATCCACCCCATCACCGTGTTTCTACCGAATATACTGTCCTTTGGTAAAGAAAGTTTAATAGTCTGTACCCTCTCCACCGTCTGAACTGCGTGTTAACACCACACGCTTTCTACCAAAATGTCGTATTTCACATACCGATGGTCTCTGACTTAGGATGGCTGGACGTAAACCTCCTGACCTCTCGGTGGTGTGACAGTGACGCACGCTCAGTAGAAACCACCCCTGGCATTCTGAGGGGCTCTTTTCCGGGCTACCATAGGCAGCAGGATCCTCTCTCATGACGCTGGGCCGTGGCATGGGGCCACAGCTGCCCATCGGCCAGCCACCACGTGGTGCACAACGGCCCCAGCGACAAGCATTCTGTGTTCACACTCAGTACAGAACTCAACACAGCACGTGAGGTGTTCAGCGCGTCACTACGGAGCGGGCCTCGTGTCAGCTAACACTGCTGCAGCTCTGGGCAGCTCGGGTGACTTAAATGCACTTCTGACTTGCTGTATTTGCAACTTGCGACGGGCTTACTGGGACAAAACCCCATCATGAGTCAAGGAAGATCGGTATTTAAAGTGTCTGACATAACAAACAGCGTAAATGACGGCTAAAAAAATCATACATAAATACCACATCCGATACGGCAATACTTTCGTCTCTCCGTTTTAAAAATACGCTTCGTCAAAATGCTGATTTCAAATGCACATATGGCTGAAAACGAACTTTAGTATTGGAATCTTCAGCAGATGGACACTCGACAGCCAACCTTCACGCTAAAAAGAACTGTTGTCAGAATCAAAATGTTGATGGTGGCTGCAAATACGTTTACTTCCACGTCGGTTTATAGTCACCGTTTTAATCACCTGGATGTTTCCACAGCAGAGAAAAGCACCACAACAGCTGCTAGAAGTCCTGGAAGCAAGCTGTGCTAAGATGTCCCACACAAGGAAGGGACACTTCCCGCGCACGCCCTGCTGCGAACAGGGGCCCAAGCGCCCGCCGCCCTCTCCCCGGACCCCCGCGGGCCCTGCCCTCTGGCCCAGAGCGGGCCGCACTGACCTTGATCGCAGCCTCTCGCAGGGCCTCCAGGCGCTGCCTGCTGCTCTCCTTCATGTTCACGACGTCCCTGTAGTCCCCCTGCAGGGCTCTCTGGAGGCCGTGGATCGCCTGGAACACTGAGTTTTCGCTTTCGTTCAGCTCTTTTTGGAAAATTTCGAACGTGTGCACCTGAAATAGCTTCTCTTCATCGGAGAGGCTGCTGTCTTTCTCCACCGCTCTGATCGCACTTTTCAGTTTGTTAAGAACCACAGTCTTTTGGCGAAGAAGCCCGGAGAGCTTCCGGCAACCGTCCAGGACCCACTGCTTCCTCTGCGCGCCGGCGGCTCCGCGGCCTCGGTGTAACTTGATGGCGTGCTTCGCCACCTGCTCATGTTCCGCAGCGCTGGCCACCACACGGAGCAGTGCAAGCAGCACCCACAAGTAGTTTTCCTCCAGCACCTTCATGGTCCAGTTTTAGAGGACAGGGCCACACGGTCCAAAGGCCTCCGCCAATGTCAGCTTGCATTTTACACACACATTTTCAGCTGAAGAAGAGATTTACTGTCACATATAGTTGAACCAACGACTCATTCCCACTGAGATCAGAGTTAAAAGTATTGAATAATTACATCCGGAAAGCTACCACTTTTTTGGAGAAGTTACTTTTTCTCGATAATAATATCTTAACTACTATACCTGGACCTAATCGAACGCTGAACACTGAAGTACGGCGCCTGGTAAAGAACTGGGATGCAAGGTTATGCCGAGTTTAAAGACAATTTTTCTTTTTAAAGAAAACTTAGCTTCATATACCTACTGAATCTACTGTGTGCAAAACACAAAACCCAACTCGACTTAAGAGGGTCCACATATTAAAGGCCAGAAAACACCATCAACTTCCGCTACCTCAGATCTGTGAAGCACCTGGAGGAAACACGCTCCACATTTCTGAATGAAACCCTCTGAGCTACTATTAGCTTACTCTAGCATACTGTTTTCTTACCAAAATCATTAGATATTTTGCTGAATTTCCAAAGTCACAGATGTCAAACGCAGAAAAAGGAAATCACAAAACACCACCACACCTGGATCAATAGGGCTTTACTCAATGTTCAAACATCCTCTATGATCCAAACGTAGGCTCCGTCTCTCCCTCTCTTGAGGAAGTGCCCAGGCACCACGAGGGCATTGATCCTGGCAACGGAAGCACAGACAGGACCAACCGTGACAGGCCAAGTTTCACCACAGGCTGTGCCGTGGGCAGCAGTGGGTGCCGCGGCTGTGGCTCCTGGTTACACCAGGAGGGCAGGGCTGTGTCCTCCAGGGGAGCGAGTGACCACGAAGCAGTGTCAGCAAGGCCACCAAGAAGAAATCACCTCGGAGGTAGGAAAAAGTAACAAACACAAGACAGGCCAAGCAAGCTACGCCCTAAAAAGCAACCAATGAAACCTGGTGACTAGATCACCAGGCGCAAGTACTTGTTCAGAAAAGAAAACAAACCAAACCTGCCACTTACACAAGCCTTGCGGTTAAAACATTAGCATGAATGAGTCATTCATAGCAGCACCCCATGGGCCGTCACGACAAATGTGCCGGTCGTCTCCCTCCCTGGGGGTCTGAGACTCAAACACGCCGCCGTACCTCAGTGTCACCGGGAACCCCAACACTCACAAGCATAATCTGCTTTCCCAGGCAAAACAGATCAGAGGCAGCAAAAACGAGACTGTGACATTTCTGGAGGTAAAATTCTGACAATACCAAGAAAGGACAGGCCGGACAAGGTGGAGACCAAACAGAACTTCTGGAAAACCAGCACAAAAACTCCGCAAGGACCGGCCCCCCGGGCATTTGGTGAGGGCTGAACCGAAAACACCACGACTGGAGGACGGGAAGGACACCTGCCCATCAAAAGTCACCAAAAAAAATTATATTCTGGCTCAGTACTCTGGTTAGAAAGTCAGGAAACTTCTCAGTTTCAATACATTTTCGAATCCCTCAGCTCCTGAGGTCACATAAAGAACCACGTACCTACGATAGTTCACTTTCTTCCAACGAGGCAGGATACATGAGAACGTGCCACCTAAGTTACCCGACTTTAGGTCACGGTTTTAATATAACTTTAAGTAAACGTTACCACCTTAAAAGTAAATAAGTGATGAATCATAATAATGCCTAGCAACTAGTTAATCTGCCATTTTAATGACTCATTTTACGGCTTCTATTGTCCCAGGGGACAGACAGAATTCAATCACTACTTCAGAAGCGCATGCTTTTTTAGTATTTTTCAGAACCAAGATAGAGATTTCCAAAGCTTGTCAATGCTTCCCATTTTCCCTAAGAGATCGAAGAGATTCTTATATGGATTTCAAACTGCAGACAAATAACTGGCCACACAGCTTGTGAATGACGCGCTTCCACTCATCTCTGCTTCCTTCCCCAGACCAGTTCCTGAAATTAAATAGTATAACTCTACCCCACGACACGTGACAGGCTATTAATTTTTATGAGAAATCATGGAATATTTTAATTGTGGTCATACAATATTTCCACCAAAACAAATCTGATTCATGAACATGAACCTGAAATTATTTATACTCCGAAAACATAAATCACTCCTTCTTCATAAGTTCAATTTCATCTAACCTTCAAACTCGCTACCAAATCCTATGCACTCCTGAACTGCTACATGCTTTTTCTTGAGTAAATAATAAACATTTTTAGCTCCAGTATTTTATTATTATTACCTTCAATTATAAAAAAGACACTTTGGATTTATTGTTTTTATAATGAATTTCTAGAATTTCTATACTTTTAAGATTGTATTTATTTATCCGAGAGAGAGAAAGGCAGAGAGCACATGCATGCACACAAACAGTGGGGGAGAGGCATTCTCATGAGCATGGAGTCTGAAGCAGGGCTTGATCCCACGATCCCCAGATGATGATGGGAGCCGAAGGCAGACACTTCCCCGACTGAACCCCCCAGGCGTCCTAGAATTTCTGTATCTTGATTCACTGATCCAAACTCAGTGGATCTCAAGAGTGCACGAGGACAGCCTGTCACACGGGCCCCACGACTCCTTTTAGACGGCACTGCGGAATGACACTCTGTGGAAGGGGAGAGCGGACGGGGCGGTCAGGGGCCAGGGAAGGGGGCAGAGGGACCCTGTGGATGGAAATGGTGTGTCTTGGCAGTGCTGGTGGCCCCGGAATCCATGCGTGACAGACTTGCACAGATCTGAGCACACACACGAGTGCACGCAGAACACGCCGTCTGCGTCGGTGGGAGAATCGGACCAAAGCCGTCTTCTACTTACACCACATGTTTTGTCAGGAGCTATCACTGGGGATACGTGGGTGAAACACCTATGGGATTTCTTTATATTAGTTCTCACAACTGTATGTATTATCGAAAATAATTATCTCAAAGTAAAACTCTAAGAATTGAATGTAAAGGCTTACCATTTCCCACTAAACCCTCCTCATGTTTAATGATCACCATTTACACTGCAGAACAAGGAAAACGTATCCATGACTAGGAAACACCCTAAACCAGAGCCAAAGGTTTTTAAGATGTCTCTGCGGCAGTAAAACACAAGGTCACTTTCCATTCAGAGCAACACCAGAATCAGTGCTTTGAACACGACCCACCCCCAAAGGTTTCATTTACACATATTTCAACTTTAGTTAAAACGTATCTCCACAGCCTAGCCAAATCTCTAACGGGTTTGCTTGCTTGATAAATGCAGAACACGATTCCCAAAACTTATCTTAAAATTGATGCGATTACTTGATCAAGAACACAAATATTTAATAAGGAGGTATTTATTTAGGATAAAAAAGCAAATGGAGGGGCGCCTGGATACTCAGTGGGTTAGAGCCTCTGCCTTCGGCTCAGGTCATGATCTCAGGGTCCTGGGATCAAGCCCCACATCGGGCTCTCTGCTCAGCGGGGAGCCTGCTTCCTTCTCTCTCTCTGCCTGCCTCTCTGCCTACTTGTGATCTCTGTCAAGTAAATAAATAAATCTTAAAAAAAAAAAAAAAAGGCAAATGGATTCACTATTAAGCCCACTCAAAAAAATCAAAAACAACAAAAACTTCCAATATCTTTAGGGGTGGCCTGGGTGGTTCAGCATCCAACTCTTGGTTCTGGCTTAGGTCACGATCTCACAGATGGTGGGGCTGAGCCGGTATCAGGCTCCATGCTAAGCAGGGAGTCTGCTTCAGATTCTCTCTCTCCCTCTCCCCCTTGTCCCTCCCCCCAGCACGCACCGCTCTCTCTCCAATAAATCTTCTTAGAAGTATTTCTGATGCCTTTAATTCACTGTCGTATGAAAGTCACTTTACTCTCATCCACTTGAAAATCTTTAGTAATTCGTAAATGTTACATCATTTATTGGATAAAGAGTTCAAAAGCAAAGCACAATAACGTTGTCTGAAACCAGCCTTTTTCAGAGTGAAGTCACCCAAGCTAAAGATTTCTCCCACATGCCCCTAACTCTGGGCTCTATGGAACTGCAGGTATGTAAAGGGACTATTTCCTCAGACATCGGATGAGAGACAGAGCCCTAGAGTCCAGGGGTTGCTGACGTCCCTTCGGGGAATGGGGCTGGGGAGGCAGATGGGGAGGGGAACTCCTCTACTTTCTTCAATTTTCTATAACGGTCTGAAACGTGGAAACCTCATGGCTCTGCCTCCCAGCCTTCTGCTCACATGCACCCAGGGTCCCGCATCCTCTAGACCTTCTGGACCCACCTTCTCCAATTTTCATGATCAAACTGCCGGGAAGAATCTAGTTCATTCCCCACAGCAGTACAGGGGGCCACTGCCTGTCAGGCCAAGGTCACCCCAGCCGGGCTCCAACACAGCCCCGCGAAGGAACCAGCCGCATCCGGTCCGCGGAACCAAGACCTGAGCGTGGGGCACACTGACCTGGTACCACAGGCCACCGGTGCCTGGAGCCACAGGCAGAGGATCCCAGGGCGCTCAGTGCAGTGCGGGCGAGGCGGGAGTGCAGTCCACCAGTCCGTAGGGTCCTTCGGCTTCTTCTGAAAGAGGAAAACGTGAAGATCATTTGTAGGGAACGGTTTAACATCAAAATCTTTTCTTTCTTTCTAGAGATCGTTTATTTATTTATTCCACACACGGAGATCACAAGCAGACGGAGACAGGCAGAGGGAGGGGGAAGCAGGGTCCCCGCGGAGCAGAGAGCCCAACGCCGCGCTGGATCCCAGGACCCTGAGACCATGACCTGAGCCACCCGGGCGCCCCGACAGAAGAACGTCTCTGTGATACCAGCGACACTTCCCGATGCAGCACGACCGGGCACCGAGCAGGACAGGAAGGGTCTCAGAGAGCAAACTCCCGGAGGAAGCAGCCGCCGCGGTCCAGCTGGCGGCGAACTCCGAGAGCCCACGGACTAGGCGGCGGAGGCCGGATTCTTACCCGACAGCGCGGACGGTGTCACGAACACGACTTCAGGCTCGCACGTCGTCGGTGAACTCAGAGACTGCGTTAACAGAGGGAGGGAACGAAGGGAAACTCAGCCATGGCACG